TTTTTTCTTATAGATCCTCTACTACTTGTGCATTTTGATGCCTATTGTCTTAACAAACAGCATAAAAGAGTGGCTAAAAGAAAACAGATCCCTAAGTTATGTTTCCAGAGTTCAACATCCAAATTGGCAATTCACTAGCTCCTCAGTTCTTTCTCTCTCTCTCTCTCTCTCTCTCTCTCTCTCTCTCTCTCTCTCTCTCTCTCTCTTTTAATGCAGTGCAGGCTGGTCTTGCATTTGTGACTTTCCTGCCTCTGCCTGCTGAGTGCTGGGTCTATAGGCATGTTCCACTACACCAAGCTACTGCTCTCATTGCTCATTACAAGATTATAGTAATAAGTAGCTCAAGAAGGCTGTTTTGAGAATTAAATGGTTACTACATGTAAAGCATTTGGAACAGTCTCTGGCACAAAGAAAATGTTTGACATGCTTCATAAGTGTTAGATGTTCCCACTACTATTGCTACTTTTACCACCATAGCCTATACTGCTACAATTGCTAACATTAGGTGTTCCACAAAGTTGTGAGCTTGGGAGACATATATAAGAGATGTCTCTTCCATAAAAGGAAGGAAAAGTATTATGGTTTGTCCCTGAATTCAAGGTTCAATGAGGAATCATATAAGGAAGCATAAAATTAGTTCATAGACCATTAGGGCTTGAACAGATTCTTAAGAGAACACACAGAACAGACACAGAGATAGAAATGACCTCTAAGAAAACAATCAGCTCAGGACTTTTTTTTTATATTAGCCAAATTCTTAAGGGCAGTTAATTACAAAAAGGAAACAGTGGGAATTCTATGACACTGAAACAAAAGGGAAGAACATTAAGGTTGCAGTGGGATGGGCATGGAAAGGTAAATATAGATTGGGAAATCAAACTTAACTAACAAACTTCTGGAATAAACAATGCACCCAATTGTACATACTCTTAAGGAGAACTTGGTATTACATGTAGCGGGAACAAAATCCGTAAAAGGCAAAGAAAAATCAATGTTTAATGTTTCCCCACAGGCTGCCAGATACACTATAAAAAGAGAAAAAAGCAAATTTACTTTCAATGTCAAAATTTAAATGGAAAAATTATTTTCAATGCATATGTAAACAAAATTCAATGTAAGACAATATGCAAATTCCAATACAAATTCTAAAATAGTTCTCTGAAAGTTTCACAATGGAGAAAAAAATCAATTCTAGTATCTACTAAAACTCCAATTTGTCACTAGCATGTATCTTAGTAAGTTGAATAATTAATATTTAAATTTTTCTTACCATTTTCCTGTTGTTTAGTGGAACAGTCAATCCAATTGTGTTGATTAGCAGCCCAAATCATTTCAAATTGATGAAACATGATTTTAAAATTCCATGTATATGGAACAAATGAAAAAATGTCTGGAGCACTATCACTAGACCAGTCTTGAATTAAATCTAAAATTATTGGGCATACCAAACAGAAAGTAAAGTTAAAGTTCAGAAAACAAAACATAAGAGATACTAACTAGTAAAAAATAAAATTTTTCTAACTAAAAATAACCTTTATATTGAAATATTTTAAAGTGTCTAAGATATAACTAAATGATCTAACAATAAAGAGACATCTACTGACTAGTCATAGTTCCACACAAAAAAAAACTCTTATACATTTACTATATTATTTTCTCCAAGAAATTTTAGAAAATAGAAAAAAATTATCTAATAGTCCACTATCTGAATAATCAAATATTGTGGATACATTTCCTCCTACTTATTTTTCTATGTAGATCCTTGATGTGTTTTATGTGTTGCTTTTTCACTGAAAAATATTTCCCAGGTTAATTTACACGCACTAACATATATTTTACACTAACAGTTCATTAAAAATATTTGTCTTAAGGTTTATTTTACTGGATACTCTTTTTAAATTTTTGTATGACATCCAATATTTCAGAGTGTACTTTTACGTAAGATGTTTTACATATTCAGTATTACTTTGTCAGAATAGATTCCAGAAGTAGAACTTATGGGTCAAATTGGACAATTTTCCAGGCTATTATAGATTACAAGATTGCCTGCCAAGAGAAATGAATCTACTTATGTTGCTACCAAAAATGAATGCATACACACTTATTTGTGTCCACTTCTGCATTATAGTTAGTAAAAGGTGAAAGTTTTATGTGACCTAAAGAGAAACCAGAGTGTCCTGCATTGCATTTATTTTGACCTATCTAATTTTTTGTTCTAGGTTATTTTTTTGCCCCGGGGGCATTGTGGGGGAAAGGGGAGGACTTGCTATTGCAGAAGTGAAAAATAATGTCTCACTTTTATTGACTTTCTAAATTACAAGTACAAGTGAATGTTTTTTCACGTTTATTTGTGAAATATCTACTTAGTATCTACTGTATGTCAGGCTCTAGTTCAGACTCTGGAACTGCAATGATGATTAAAACATAGACTTAGTCTTTTTAAAATTTAATCATTCATCTTTGTTTACTACTGATGTATGTTTTAATAGTTGCTTTTTAAAACTGTGTTCATATGCTTAGTCAGTTTATCTTTTGGTATCTTTATTTTTTTTTAATATCAAGAAATAAAATGTCTACATTAACATATTAGCACTGGTCTTCCACAGTGGTTTTCACAACTTTTTCTTATGACCCCGATATCATTTCCATGCATTGTATATTCCCCCAATAATAAAGTTGCACTCCTAGAAATGTCAACCTCATCTTTGCATACTCAAAGTATACAGCACAGGGACACTGCATATAAATTAGAACTTCGGTGTGTATGTGGAAATAAGGAAACTGAAAGCAGCATTGTTATAACACTGATTTTGATACCAGACAGGGCTGAGTTTACATTCTGGATTTATTAGCTAGGGAATCTTGAAAAAAATGACTTAAACGTATCAGTTTTCTTATAAAATGGGAAAACTCAGACTTATTAGGAGGACAGAGATTACTTAGGCAAACTTTTAACAAAATAACTGACACCAAGTAAGTGCTCCACAGATGGTAGCACTTTTTATTAAAGATATTCTAAGGACAATTGTGGATAAAAACTACTAAATACTTAAAGTAGTTTTCTTTGAATTTTAAAGGGCATCTTTAAACTGAAAAACATAAGTTAGATTCAATAATGATATCAGAAGTTAACTTATCTTGCCTATCACATAAATCATTTAAAATTTAGCTGCACACGTGTGCACACAGAAGCTGGCACACATTTTTAAAGAGAGAAATTTCTGCCTCATTAAAACAGCAAAATAAACCATTTAATGCACATTTCAATGAATTAACATTAGATTTAAAGTCTTATAATATCAATAATATAAGGGCATATGCTATTAACTGTTCTATTAATATGGAAGGGAATTTAACTTATATTTACTTTAAATATACTTTGATTTCATTTAATCAGCATTCACAGGTGGTTCATCATCCTTTATAATATTTATGCTTCACTTTCAACCTCTTACTTCTAACTGTCACCATACCTACCTAGTCTAACTCCATTCCTCTTTTGAACTTTATTCTTAAGCATAGCAGTCTAGCACTTGGGAGATTCCCAAAAGTCATTTCTGGAATTAACAAACTCCATTATAAATTCATCATTCATAAGGCTGATTTCCTCATGTTCCATGACTGCTTTACTTGTTTATACAAGAAGTTAAAGTTACTAATGCAGCAAGTTAAATGTTAATTTGAAAAATCCACCAATGACTCACTTTGTAATTAAATTGTTAGACACCCCATAAAATACCAATCAATTGGTATCAGAACTTGTAAAATTGTTATATTTTTTATTCTCTTCCCTCCTTTACCATAGTATATCTAAGTCAATTTGGTTATTCTTACAAGAAGCTTCATTTTCTGCCCCTGTTTAATAGTTTTCACTCCAGAGGGTCTACATTATATTTAACATAAACCTATCTTTATACCACATCAAAATTTCTGAAGAATAATTTTATCTTATGAATAAGTCACATGAGAATGGCTGTTGAAGAACATTAGTCATTCCCTCTATCCGGATGGATAATTTCCTTCTATAGAACTTTGACAGCACAGAAAACAACTGGAACACTGTAACCAAGTAAGTGCACTCCAAGACTAAATCACTATTATTCTTTTTTTAGAGAATTATTAAGTTTTAAAAAGACTCCAGAGTTATTGATAATACTGGATGTCTTTCTCAAAAATGATACAATATGGCCAAATGTTACATATTACTATTAAATATGGGAGATGAACTATTTAAGTGCTGATAATGTTTGTTTTTACAACTTACTGTACATTCTTAAATTGCTCCAAATGAATTTGAGATAAATAACCAAAAGAGCAAATTTTGATACATAAAGCATGAGTGACAAAAAATAATTTATGAAAAATCTGCATTAAGAAATACATACTTGGCTATTTAAAAGTAATTAATACTTGGTTTAAATGAAAGTGCTACTTCAAAATACAATTTGTAAATCATGAAGAATTTACTTCTACGCCAGCTATTTTTAGTTCTGCTATATGAATATGTGAAGTGTCTGAGGGAAAAATAATACAAAGTATTAAATATTTGAAAATAGAAATTCTAGGGCAAGAAATCTAGGAATGTATCTCAAGTGGTAGAACACTTGCCTACCATGCACAAGGCTCTGGTTCAATCCCCAGTACTGAAAAGAAAATAGTAATATATTTAAAAGACAAAGTTAAACCACAAAGTCTTAAGTGAGAGGAGAAAGGCTATAGTCAAAGAAGCTAAGAAATACCAGAGACTCTTCAAGCCAGACTATTTGAGTTGGAACTCTAGTTCAACCAACTTAGTAGTGGTATGACTGGACAATTTGCTACAACTTTCTGTAACTCATTGTTTCCATCTTTAAATAATAAAATTGATCTCTGAGTTTTTCTGAGGATCCAATTATAATATGTGTAAATTTCTTAGGACAGAGTCAGACACATAATACACATTGTACATACTAGCTGTTAATTTTTTCATAAACTTGAACAGAATTGTTTATTCAGTGTTCTGCTTTACTGGCAAAAGTAACTTGCCAGGGATTCTGTCAAATTTTCTATTACAGGGACACTGATTCAAATCTTGGAGAAGCAGAATATAACTCCAGCAAACTAGAAGAACTCTATTTAGTTCCGAAAGTAAGGCACCTACTCAAACAAGAAATTAAATATAAAATAAATATAAAACCAAATATTAAGACTAAATATAAAACTAAATATAAAAGATTGAACATGTTGCAGTGAAAGGCATTTTAAAATGTCAATACTCTAGCAACAGCAAAAGTAGGATAGAAATTTTTCTTATTCCACAAATAAGGAAACTAAAGTATAAACAGTGAAGTAATTTAGCCAACTAATGTCCAGGCAATAATTACTATGATTATTTATGCATATGTTAATCACCACTATTCCTAATATCTAATAGGACTCAGAACAGACTGGATGTTTGCAAATGACTGCTGAATGGATGGATGGATGGAAAGATGGATGGATGGATGGAGGGATGGTTGAATACCACCAGTCAAGCAAATAACAGGTTTCCAGAGAGTAGGCACTGACTCTGGCAAATTATACCAACACTGCAGATCTAAACCACTTCAATAAATGCTACTAACATTTATGTAGTAATATTTCCATTATCACAGACTAAGACTACATGTTTTTATACTCATGAAATTGAATGGGTACTATAATATGCTCCTAGAAATAAAGGATTTTTTTGACTAGTGACAGCATCCACTTGATTACCTATGCCAACAGAAAATAAGCAGACTCTAAATATGAAAGCAATATATTTGGGGTTTTTTTTATTTATTATACACATTCGTTCTTTTCACACTTGGGTTGTTCATATGAACAATTTCCTCATACCTGTGGCTGGCATCACAGCCAGGTGTTTTGTTTGTTTGTTTGTTTGTTTTTGGGGGGGTGAGGGAGACAGTACAGAGGTTTGAACTCAGCAGGGTCTCATGCTTGCTAAGCAGGTGCTCTACCACTTGAGTCACTCCACCAGCACAGTCAGGTTTTATAAGGAGGATGGGAAAGCACACTTCATTTTTGCTCTTGATCTGCAGTACTCAGAGTGGTCCCCAGACCACAACATCAGCATCATCAGGGACTTCTCTGAAATGCAAACTCCCCATCTCCATCCCCAACCCACTGAACCAGAAACTCACAGCGTAGATCCAGCAACCTGTGTTTTGAGAAGCTTTCCAGGTGATTCTGGTGCAAGTTGAAGTTTGAAAACCACTACTTTGAACATGTAGAACTAGGACATTTCCCTGACTTGCTCAATTGTAGAAGGTAAATGTATTCCCTTAAACACCAGTCTTCACTATTAGGGGCTTAAGTAGAATCTTTCTAGAATGGTTATTGAAAGAAATTGCTTACAACTAGAAATGTAGATATATCTGGAAAACATTAATAACCTGATTATGTTGCATCTCAGAAAATAGCAAGAGTGGCAAAAAACATACACATTTATAAGTGCCTAACACCTTCTCCTTCAGTTAGACTCAATTCCTCTTCATTTTTGATCTTGCATATTCCTCATGCTTAATTTTGTTACATAAATTACCCGGCATTCTCTCCAATTCATTGATCGACCATTGAATACCCTGCTGACATTCCTGTTTCTTCGTGAAGCCTTTCAGCTAAACCCTCATTTGGTTATTTGGGCATACTGCTGAGGATTACAATAATTAAAATGAAAAAAATTGAAGCTATGCTGAAGCTTCATTTAGGAAAAAAGAGAAACTGATTCATCAATGTCATCTTACTGGTGACAACTAGACTGATAAAAGGCACCAGGTGAAATTGTTTGGCAAAGAAGAGAACACAAAAATTCTTCATTAAAATTTTCCCTTTGATAGTCTCAGCCTAAAATAAATTGCAAAAGTAACAAAGCATGAATCATGTCATCCAATGCCAATACTGGATTTAACTGAAACTTACTAAATATAAACAAATTCACCCTGATAAATCCCATTATATTTATATTTAAAACAAAATACCTGTAAAGAAGTTCTTCTGTGCAAATATGAAGTGATAGGTGGCTTTATAAACCTCTAATTCACACTGCCATGTCTGTGGCATGTTCCATATTCGGGGGTAGCTGGCATTGATGTGGAACTGCAAAACATACATTAAGTAAAAATATAAGAGCTTAAAATGTAACACTATGTGAACACCTTTGGAAATGAAGTCACACACACTTGTGACTAATTAAAATGTATTCCTGAGCTGAGCAGAAGGAACCTTTGAGATTTTAATATTGCTGTGGTTGAAAGTCAGTATCTCTGATTAAATTGAGCTCCTTGAAATATTTAACTATGATGTGGTTAAAAATCTTTGAAAACAACAAATCAGGCTATAGTTCTGACACTGTACTCCAGCTCAACTAGTGGGGTAACAGCTGATACTCCTAAATCCTCCTTAAGTTTCATTTGTTGAGAGGAAGTGAAGAAGGGTGGAGAGCAATGTACACTGTCACACAAAGTGACACTGACATTTCTACAAAACTTGGGAGTTTCTGTGAAGGAAAAAGCTGCATTATCATACAGCCCCATTTATTCACAATAGTGCAAGAAATCTAAGAAATGCTAACAAACACTGAATAGAATGTTGATTTTAACAAACAATGAGTATTTCAGTTTAATGCATATTTATGGTATTTGATATATCTCTTGGTAATTGCAAAATGTTCCTCTTAATTTACATCTACATCATGTATAAGATATAATATGTGATGAGTAATTAAGAACCTTATGGTATCATCTTATATAAATTCTATGAACACCAACCATTCTATAGTAGCTTCTGTTGTTGCTGTTATTATCTCTGATTTTTTAAAAATGTGCCTCATTAATGAGTTTCCAAACTGTAACTTTAATCACACACATTTTCACATTGTTCCTAATATGGAGCAACTCAGGGTACCAATAAGATTATATCCCCTCTACCTTACTCAGTAAGTTAAAAGCACAATGAATAACAGTATTTAAGCCCTGAGATTGAATTCAATAGGGTCAGAAAACATATGGTAAAAAATTAACTTATTTGGAATTTAGGAGAAATTTAGTCCAAACACATGATGAGGTTTAAAAACACTACAACAACTTTTCACATTTGTCATTGCCTTCTATCCACTATACTAGAAGCAGAGCAACAGAGATATGCCAAAGACACTTCCTAACATTGGGAGTCTACTCCTCTTCCCAAAGATAGGGTCAAAAGGAGCTGGTGGTTTTGAATAAGGAAACAGTCCACTCTTGCTTACCTAAATTTTATATTAGAAAATTTAAAAGAAATGCATATTGCATACATGTATGCACATTATTATATATGCTAGACTTACTGCTAACATTTCTGCTTCCAAAAGGGTCCGATATTGCATGCTGGTAGTGGCATCAACATGTAATAGTTGTCCTTTAATTGCAGGGGTGTAACCTAATAAATAAAACCATAAAAATTAAGAAAAAATAATGCAATTAAAAATTCTGGACTAGAACCAACTCCCACCCAAAACAGAAATCCCTGAAAAAAGGATAATCAGTCACTGTTTAAACAGGGAGCTCTCTCACTTTTGACAGATCTGAGGGAAGATTTTCACCATACAGTATCTATCCTGATTTTGCTTTTGAACCCAAGACTATGGTTATCTCTCAGTATCCTTGGGGAACTGGTTCCAGGATCTCCTAGGCCATCAAAATCTGCAGATGCTTAAATTCCTTATATAAAAATGACAACAGTATTTTCATATTATATAAGCACATCCTCCTACATATTTCAAATTATTTCTAGGTTACTTATAGTACCTAATACTACGTAAATAGTTGAACTATGTAAATTGTTCAGGGAGCAATAAGAAAAAAAGCTGCACATGTTCAATACAGACCTAATTTTTAAAAATATTTTCTATTCACAGTTATTGACTCCATGGATGCAGAGCCTATGGATATGGACGGCTAAGTATATATGTCTATTCTCCAAACAACAGTTTTCAACTATTTAATACAATATCCATGTTTTTCTTTAGCTGTGACTCAACAATACATATCTGCATCATCTGTAACTACTACTTATATGAGTTTCTAAACAACGTCCATTCTTCATGTAATGTCAGTTTCCTAACAATACAGTCCATTCTCAACACAACAGGAAAGACTGGAGTATCACATTTCCTTTCTTGATGGAATCACTTTCTACAAAGACTAATTCTATGGTAATTATTATATAATCAGTTCCATGTGCTTGAATATTCCTGCCTCTCTTCTCTTCCCTTTCTCCTCCCCCTCCCTCTCTCCATCCCTCTCTCCATCTCTCTCTCTCTCTCTCTCTCTGACTTGAATCTGAAAATTATTTCATGTTTGCTTGTAGTTGTATAGGCTTCTTTCTTAAGACCTAAGTCCATTTTGCCCTCTAAGCAGTCATCTTAAAAACCACCTGAACTTTATACCCCAAACCCGAATTGGGTCTTCCTTAAACTCTTCATTCTTTCAGAATACAGCACTTACCACAAAAATTTATGCTCAAGATATTCAACCCCTCATTCCCCTGTTGGTTCCCCTTTTACATCAGAGTACCAATATTTGTATAATATTTACATACTGTAAAAGATATACAAACATTATTTCCTATATGCATTATCAGCTTTAAAAAGGTAGAAGCACTCCCTTAATTGAATCTGCCAATTTTGTGCAATTTTCAAATGCTTGTATTCCCATGATACAACTGTTATTAAGGCTTTTCCAAAAGATACTTCATGTTACTTCCTACTGTCAATCAGGGAGGCCTAGAGAATCTCAAGAAACCCCTTCAAGATTTAGCACAATTATTCTCTTGAAACTAGCTAATATAATGCTTAGTTTTTCATTTAAAAAGCCCAAGTACTACAGGAAAACATACATTATGTCACTTTCAGTCACTTTTTCAATTGATTATCTAAATGGGCAGGCACAAATGCTATCACTTTTGTGCAAACCTGCTTTATTCAACACCAGTAACACCAAAATAAGTAAAGAACCAATATAAGAAGACTGAAGCATTATATAAAATTAATTATACATATCAACAGTAGTATTGCCAGTTAGGGATTTAACAATATGAGCACAGTGCCATTCTCCTTACTCTCAAGAAGGTAAATACATTAAACTACAGTTTTAGTTTCAATACTCTTAATACAAACATAATGAGGGTGGGAGTAAGCAAAAAAATAAGAAGCCAATATGATTTAATAAATTTAGCAAAAAGTATTTATTCATGTTATTTATTCCCCAAATTTCAGGTGTAAAGTGAACTTAGACTTTCTCAGCACAGATGAAACTATAGTTATGCAGGGATTATTTAATATTTTAAATATGAAATATTTTCCTTTCTCAAAGTTATGCTATTCAAAGGACCCCAGCTTACTCCATGACAAAGCCTACCAACACTATAACCTAAAACAAAGCTATCAGTTATTCAATCAATTACAGCCCAAATGCCAGGTACTAAGTTCAGCACTAGGGAAACACAGGACCTTATAAAAGACATAGCATCTGCAACAGTCTAACAGGAAAAATCCACATTAAACAAATTATGCTCAATTCTATCACAGAGATGCATAGGACTGGAGACATGGCTCAAGTGGTAAAGGTCCCACACTAGAAAGAGCAAAGCATTGAGTTCAAATCCCAGCATTATCAAAATAAAGTTAAAATAAAAAAAAGGAGAGATGTATAGGATGTATTGAAAGCATAGAATTATAAGACCTAAGTTGACTAGAAAATTGTTGCCTTCTCTCTTGGGGAACAAATAATTTAATCATGTAATAATAACTAGAAGTACATCAAAGCTATTGGTTATAATGTAAATTGGTATAACCATTATGGAAGTTCATCAAAAAATTAAGAACAGAACTACCATATGATCCAACAACCCCATTACTGGGTATAAATCCAAAGATAATGAAATCAATATGTTGAAGAGACATCTGCACTCTCATGAGCACTACTGCATGATTCAAAGCAGAAATGGAAATAAGTGCGTACCACCTGCTGAACTGATAAAGAAATCATGGTACATTTACACAGTGGAATTCTACTTAGCCATTAGAAGGGGTAAAATCATGTAATTTGTAACATAGTCTTTATGTTAAATGAAACAAACCAAACATAGAAAAATAAGTACATCATCTCACCTCTACAGGGAATCTAAAAAAGTTGATCTCACAGAAGTTGAGAGCAGAATGGTGGTTACCAAAGGCTGAGGACAGTAAGGAAGAAGGAAGGGATGGGACAGGGTGATTGGTGACTAGTAAGTTAAAGATAGATGAGAGTAAGAAGTTCTGGTGTGCTATTGAACAGTGGGATGACTATAGACACAATAACATACTATGTATTTCAAAAAGCTAGACGAAAACCAGGTGTGGCATTCCATGCCTATAGTCCCAGTATTCGGGAGGCTGAGGCAGGAGAATCTCAAAAGTTTCAGACCAGCCTGGGCAACATAGTGAGATCCTGTCTCAAAAAAAAAAAAAAAAATTAAAGAAGGTGCATGAAAGGATACTGAGTATTTTTACCACAAAGAAATTATAAATGTTTCAGTAGATAAATTTATCATAATTGCAACATCACACAATACATACATATACTGAAACATCACATGGCACCCCATATGTACAACTGCATCTTTTATGCATCAGTTAAAAACTATTTAAGTTAAAAAGTAAAACACACAGAAAAAATGAAAAAGAAAACCCTTTCATCATCTAATAGAACCAAAATATTGTATCATTTATACATTAATCATTTCAGAAATTATAATCACTGCTTACCATTTTCTTCAACCGTCATGGGAATATTAATTTCTAAGTATGAGCCAGCTCCTACATTTACATGTACAGCATTTGTTTCCTATCAAAAGAACAAAATTAATTCATATAAAAAATTTATTATAATTATATTCCCATCATCTTTATTTTTGATTATCAAAGAAATGTAATTATCAATGATATGAAAAATCCCTAAGAACAAAAGTTCAAATTTATACCGAAATTATACTAAAATAATTTAGCTAAATATAAAGACAAAACTGAACCAGAATACAAAATGAAAGTGTATTATTATTAATCATTATTAGTAATTTCTTTTCATTATTTAGTCTTATAGCAGCATTATGAAAGATACATAAAATTATTGAGGGACAGTAGGAAGAAGATCATAGAAATGAATCTAAGTATAGAACAGAAAAATACTCTGGAAAATACTGTTCAAATTTTAAACACTGTTTTCTGCTATATTATTACAATAATTACCCTGTTTTTAGTAAATAGCAAGTCAATTGTAGCATCCGCAATAATATTCATGCGTAGTTCAAAAGCAAGTATCTGTCTTGGTCTTCCAGCCTGTGCAATTTCAGAAACTTTCAGAACTTGATAATCAGGTGGGAAGAAAAACTTCCATAAACAGTCTCTATACAAAGAATAAGAAACAATAATGATGTTACTCAAACAAAATTACCTCTATTGAGAGATCATAATCAGTATTGTAACTGATTTTGCTATCTCATTTGACAATTAGACTGCTTTCTCCAATGTTTTCTGCCAGAGATCAATGAGCTTTGAGCACTTACTACAAGTGAGACATAGGTAAAATCAAATTTGACTATTTAAATGTACTGTGAGTAATTAAAAAACATTCTACAAGTATATCAATTGTTCAATGGTAAAAACGGAATTAACAGAGGATAGATTAATTAGAAACATCATTCCATACTGGACAAGTTATTTAAGCTTTCAGAGGAAACTTGGCCTGCTTCTTGTCTATAACATAGGTACAACATAACTTATCTCATGGAATGGTTATTGACAATATATATGGAAAAGACAGCAGCTCATGGCCCACAGAAGAATTTTATCATTTTTATAAGCATTTTTAATCAATATAGTATCAGAAAACACTAAAGAGCAATATATTTCTAAAAAGTAGGTAGGTGTTTAGCTGGTAAGATACCAGTGTATTTGCCTCCCTTTATCATTTGACAAAGATACAAGAACTTAAGAAATTTTTAATGTTACTTATACATTCAGAGAAGCTACCAGTGTATGGCTTTAATAGAAGGGTTAAGGAAGAAGCCAACAGTGACAGGAAATAATACTTGAATAAATGTCTGGGAAAAATAAGATCAATGTAACAAAATTTGTAAACAGAAAGTTACAGACTGACTCACCAGGATTTAGATGAAAATGTATAAAAAGAAACAAAGTTCTGCAAATGTTCTGACTATAACACACAAACACAAAAAGCTAACAATATTAAGCCAGGCACCAGTGGCTCATGCCTGTAATCTAGCTACATGGAAGGCTGTAATTGGGAGGATCACAGTTTGAGATTGGATTGCCAAAATTTTTGCAAGATTCCATCTCAGTCACTAGCTGGCGGAGCTGTGTGTACCTGTCATTCCAAGCTATACAGGGTAGCTGAGATCAGGAGGATTGCAGTTCCCAGCCAAACGGGGCCAAAAAAATAGTTTGTAAGATCCGTCTCTCTCAGGAAAAAAATTTTTTTAAATGGCGTGGTGGCAAGCATCTGTCATGCCAGCAACATGGGGAAGCTTAAAATAGGATGGCAGCCCAGGCCAGACTGGGCAAAAAGCAAGACCCTATCTCCAAAATACTGGTCCCAATACTGTCCAACAAAAAAAAAAAAAAGAAAGAAAAGAAAAAGTATTAATATTAAGGAAAGAGAACACAACACAGTAATTAGATGATTACAGACTACGAGATAACTACTGGGGTATAATGAAATGAGCCAGTAAACTCGAGGGTAGCTTCACTACTTTCCAAAATCAGTGAACCTCTCTGTATCTTCACTGTCTCAAAAATATAAGAAGTTCACTACATCTGTCCTATATATCTAGTTGGTTGATGAGGATCAAATGGGAAAATATAAATGAAGAACTGTAAGTGACAGCAACAAGATGCTAGTATCAGGGATGCTTACATTATTAAAATTATCACCTAAGGATTAAAGTTTCATTGTAGCAGATTTTATTTTTCAACTCTGTCATGAAAACAAAATATTTTACAGCTGAATAATATTTTAAATATTCAGAAATGTCATGTAAAGCAGAACTGACTTCAAAATCTAGGCTATATCAGAGATAACTCAATATGCTGAGTAAACTATGCAACTGAAAAACAGGTAAAATTAGGAAAGATAAAGAAGTTGCTGTTTTCTCTTAGCAGTGGAAAAGTCTACTACAGTTGTTAAAGCAAATTTCTGTTTCACATTAACTTTAGTCTCATTTCTCTATATAACACAAAGACAGTGCCCAAAATGAATTATGAATGAACTATGTATTATAAAAATATTACTGTGAGTTTCTGTGTTAATATTCCCTAATATTTTTAAATGTATTAAAACTAGATATAGTTAAAGGAAAATCATACTTGAGTCAAGTACTAAAAATGAAAAAATAGGTCCTCTATCTATAAAAACATTATTTTATTTTCTCCTCTCAAATGATAAAACTGTTAGGCCTGTCAAAGAAAATTAGGTTCTCTTAAGCTTTTTGAATATGGTGGAAAGAGGATTTAGCTGTTACCTAAAGAAATATAAAATCTCTCATTTTCAACCAATGTATAGCAAATTTATAGCATGACTTACTACAGGAAAAAAATAACCATAAAAGGATATTAGACTTCAATAATCAAAAAGTATTTTTTGCTTTCTAACCAGAAATTTTAAACTCTATTTATACTGAAGTTTAATGAACAACCTAATCCAGAACATTAACAAAGTATCAATTAGCATAATCCTAGAGCTTTCAAAAGACAAATTTGTTCATTTATCATACAGATGTTAACTACTTATTGAGGGATATATTCCTAATGTTAAGAAAATATACTTAAGTGTCCTTGTCTAGCATGTGTTAGCCCTGCGTTCAATCCCCAGCACCACAAAGACAGACAAAGTAAATAATCATTCTAGTAATAGGTAGGCAGCACTTTTTAAAACTATGAAGTATAAAAAGAGCCAATATGAGATCCAAGATGGCAACTAGGGTACAGAAGCAGAAAAACTAACCTTCTGTGACTCCAAAACCTACCTGAGAGGTTGGAGCCACACCCGGGTAACTGACTGCCTCTAGCCAAAATAATAACCGCCATCACACTAGGTGCAGGAAATAATTCTAAGACTAACCCACAAATCAGTGATCTGCTGCACAGCCAGCAAGGCAGGTCTGCCATTGCAGCCACCACCAGCTCCAAACCTGCCTGTGAGACATTTAACAGAACAAACAGGTAAGCACCACACATCCTGCAGAATTCCCCCAGCCACCCCAGAACAAACAGCTGAGTGTCACACATCCTGCAGAATTCCCCCAGCCACCCCTGGGATAAACCAGCACAGCCCCTGGGCAAACTGAACTCCGCTCCCAAACAAAAACTGAATAACAAACAATGAACTTTAATCTAGCACAACAGTAGTGGGGGCAATAACAATGAAAGTTCACCTGAGAAAGGGGAAGGGGTAAGGAGCTGATCTCAGCACTAACTATCAGTTAACAAACACTAGAAAGGCAGGAAAATGGAGAACAGGCAGGCGATAAGCAACTTTCCGAAAAAGTAGGAAGGTAGCGGATCACAAAGATCATTTCTTGAGCCAGTGAACAACACCCAAAGCCAGTGAACCCTCATAACACATGGATAGCAGAGAGGGCTGATGGAACACTGAACCTGCCCCAGACAAAAGTGGCAGGGCAAAGAAATAAACCCCCAGCATAGAAATCCCAGTAAACATGCAAAGCAAAAGCCACCTCCAATGCAGAGTAACTAGTGGACTACAGAGCTGATCTTCTGAACCTGAGGGCAAAATTCAAACTTGAACTGCCCCACCTCACTGGGGGAGGAGCTAACCAAGCAGCTGCAGCTGAAGGGTACCACAGCTATCAGCTGAGGAAATCAATAGCTCTGAGCACCCTGCATGATCTGCCAAAGCTACTTCACCTCACAATTTCAATGAAACTGGTGGACAAAAGAACAAAACACTACTTACTATCCAATCACCTGGTGAGACCATGCCAGAGCTTCTACTTGTATGACAATACAAGGACTGGATGCTGGAGGAGTAACTCCAGAACTTAAACTAAGACTGAAATTCTATTGTTCCTGAACCTGGTGTTTTTCATGGTTTTTGTTTGTTTGTTTGTTTGTTTGTCTGTTTGTTTGCATTTTCCCACTGATTTTTTGGGGTTTTGTTTGTTTCTTTAGTTATTGTGGGTAAAGAAAAATAGAAATTTTTCTATTTCTATTATCGTTTTTTCTTTCTATACTATCAACTTTACCATCAAAATCATCTCATTGCTACTCTTACCCCCTTTACTGTCCCTCCTTCTCCTGTGCTAAAATCCAGTGCTCTCCTCCCCAGCAACTCATTCTGCCCCTTCTCACCCACACTGTCCCCCGACCTGTCACCAGACTACCCCTCCCTCCTATACACTCATCACCCACTGGCAAACTTATTGTACCAACTTTGCACAACCCCAAACCCCTGCAATCCCTGACATAAACATCCTCCACTACAACAACAGGAAAACACCCACACACACAAGGAACACAAAAACCAGCAGTCCCCAGACTGCTTCCCCCACTCACCCACCCCACTTCCTGCAACCCCATTTAAAGCCACCCTATCCAACTCCCCAAATTTCTAGACCTAGCCTTACAAATGCTATCACCCCAACTCCAACTGATTATATATTATTACCACTAAGAGGTCTCTTATATAACATATAAACTACTGGTTGGATATTAAACTTGTGAATTAGTTATTACTAAATTGCACCCAGACCAAGGACAGAAATAGCACACCAACCTAGCGAAAAACCCAAGACATTCACAAAACAAAAATTAAATAAAGAGGAAAAAAACAGGTGGCTAAAACCACCAACTACCCTATCAAGAATATAGTTGCTCAGTACCAAGTGGAGTGATGGGAAGAAAAAAAACAGATGGAAACCAGTACCAAGTGGAGTGATGGGAAGAAAAAAAAAACAGATGGAAACCACTCTCCACAAAAAAATTATCTAATACAGGATTCAAAGGGAAATGAAGAAAATGAATACCCAATTCCTGACTCCAACAAAGCAAAGATAAATGACTCCAAGGAGTCCAGCAATGCACACAAAAACACCCAAAAAGAACAAATCCTGCAAGTACTCACTGAGAATTTCATAGAGATGATATTAGACATGGTTAACCAAAATATACAAGATGGACTCAAGAAACTTCCAGACACCAAAAATAAAGAATACAGGAAGAAACAGAAACAAATAAATGAACTAACAGGAACCCTAAATAAACACTAAAGAGAAACAGAGAACACTATAAATAGATAAATGAATTAAGGATGAAAATAGAAAATATTAAAAAGAAGTGACCCATGATATGGAAAACCTCAAAAAAAGA